AGTCTCATAGCTACTAGTTCATAACTCTGTGCATCATATTTGTGTGAGAGGCGGTGCTTTGTTGTCTGCGTTCAGAAAACCAGACCGAATTGAGTTCTCTTTTGCATCGTCAAATTGATCCATATGTCTGCTCTTCTCTTACTTCCAGATATTGACATTTTTTTACGTTTTATGAGACATGAAGCAAGTGTATGCTAGCTTATGTCCTGCCCGGATAGATCAGTAGGCTATGATACAGTTCAAATATACGCATCTAACTTCCTAACCATGCAGCAGATTCGTTCTGAATCTCTTTCCAAATCGTCCCTCCCTAACATTTTCATCTCATTTTTATTATTTGGCGAAAATGTCAATAGATTTTCATCATAGTTTTTGTCATTCAAAACGAGTTTTGTTATCAGTTCGTTTTCATCGGTGAAAAAGTGTTGTTGATGAAAATTTACAAATTATTATATAATGAATTATATAATGTATTATATAATGAGTACTGAACAAAGACTAAAGTAGTGCTTTACTATTTAAAAAAAAGCATTACTGAACCATACTTTGTAAATGAATGAAAATATTAATATTAAGGCAGCGGCTATTTGCACTTAGTGTAAATAGCATATTTTCTTAGTGATAGATGCTATTTACACTAAGTGAAAATAGCAGTATTTTTAGCGATATGCTATTTACACTAAGTGCAAATAGCTATAGATTCTATTTACACTGTTTTAAAATAGCAGGATTTTCTGCTATTTATACTACTCGTTGGAAATAGTGGCAATTATCTGCACTTCCGTATTGTATTACATTATAAAACAGTATGCAATAATAACAAATTGAGTGTAAATTATCATTTTAATTTAAATTATTAAATGGATGCCACCTTATTGGTACAATAAAGCCCTCCCTACACCTACCCGATACTTTATTTTCAACTTTGGTTATTTCCTTAATTTTTATTGAAAATAAATGCCTTTACGATGTGATATAAGATTTGAAAAGGGTGTAAAAAAGTTGGGTAAAAGGCGGGTTCGAACCCGGGTCGATCGCACCAAAAAGACCACGGCACGCGCTTTACCATCTGCGCACTGGAGCTGATGATTCATAGCTGTTTTTTATAATGTTGACTAGCCCAATCACACGTTGGTGGGCGGAGTTAGTGTAAATAGCCTCTGCCAACAAGGCGGGCTATTTGCAATAAGTGTAAGACACTCTGTTAATATTAATTATATGTTGATCATTAAATTTAGTTTGTAGTTCATTATCTAATGCTAATAGAAGCAACTTTAAAATTTAAAAATTTGTTAGTAAATGTTGAAATTAACACACTACCGCTTTTATCAACCTTAGTTAATGTTACACATGAAGTCTTATTGGAAAGTGTTACCATTTCATATCATGCTTTAAAGTCCCCCTGTAGTGAAAATCAAGTTAGTTTTTTTGTTGTTTATTTGTCTGTGGTATTTTTAATATGCTTTTAGACAAACCATGTGCCAGTGCATTAATCAACACCATTGCTGAGTATTTTCACCTCAAAACTGTAGTTTCCCAAAGGCTGCCTCAGAAATGCGGTTTGAAATAGCTCTTTTTTGCTATGTCACAAACTTCAATAACCAATCACATCAATGGATAGATTCCTATCATTAGCATGCAAAATATACCAATAGGATTACCAGCACAAAACCAAAAATTAAATAGAGAAAAACCGCTAACTTGAATAATAACGAGCGGCAACAGTGTAAAAGTAGCACAGGGTGCCAGACCCACCTCTCCCGCACTGGAATCTGCACTTCACACGCATTGCTCACGGGCGCCAATTGGAATCACAAACTAGGCTGCATTTGAGTCTTCAAGGCATTTTGAGGACACAGCATCGTCCAAGTAACACTAACAAATGTTACAGTATCCACTGTAGTTGTCTGCTAGTAAAAACATAGTTTTATCAGTCATTATCCGTGTATCGCCATTATATCGCATTTACTACAGTTCAGTTAGTTAGTGGATCAGGAGGCTCTGGCTGGTGTGACTGAGTGGAAGCGGGGCTAATGTTCAGACCAATCAACTGTGTAGGTGTTTTCGAATTCTTTTGAATAGCTCTCGCAGTGGGTGCTTTGATGACGAACACACCTAATGAAATGTAAGATGACGTTCATGAGACATGAGCGTTAATTTCATTACAAATTTAAACAATTTTTTTCCATAACTAAGAGGTCTGAAGGTGCAGCTCTTTTATTTAAGCTGGTCTGAGTGTAATTATATTAGATTATTTTTGTGTATGCAACATCAAAGATTGCCATTCTTTAAGGTATTCTGTATATTTTTCTACAGAAAGCTATGTTTGAAGCCAGTGAGCAAGCAAAGGGTGCACAAAGGCAAGGTGAAATGGAGACACCAGTAGTTTCAGGTAAGGCCTCCTTAATAAATCATTTAAATTCGGATGGCAGTTTGTTCATACAGCGGTCGACGTTTTGAGCCATCGTTCAGTCTGTATATCACACAGCGTGATGAGAAACGGATGGAGTTGCTCCACAACACAATATCACAGAATACGTACAAGAGAGGTGGTGCTGTTATTTTTTATTTTTTTTATTTAACACACTAATTCTAAATTGGTGAATTTAATATACTTATAATTTAAAGCTATTTGGGGGGTGTGCCCCCTCAGTTGAGGCCCACTGTCGTAGACAATATACTGTATATTGCACACCCCTAGTGTGTAAGGCTCTTTTTTTATTCCAGTATAATAATGCACCTTTGCAAAAAGCGAGATGTAGAAATGCTTTACTGAATCCTGGGTGAAACAATTTGTTTGGCCTGCACAAAGCCCAAATCTTAACTCCTATTAAATTTGAACACTGACTATGTGTCTCCATCACCCAATATCAGTCCTCCTTACCCACACTGCACCATTATCATATTTTAAAAGATGTTTTATCGTTTGAGTTTCATGATAACTACTTTAGTTCTTGTACTTGGCAACCAAGTGAAAATTAATTGGTATTTTCGTTTAGAATAACAGAAACTGACCATGACAAAAATGAAAACACTTACCGTGTTTTCCAAAATTAAATATGCTCTTTCATAGTGAATTGCTCAAAGTCACTTATTTTACTGTTTATTTTGATCAGCCATCAAACTAAGACATAGCCATAACCCATTGTCAGAGCTGGGTAGTAACTGATTACATGTAATCTGAATTATATAATCAAATTTTAAAAATGAAGTACTTGTAATTAGATTAAATTACATTTTAAAATTACTTGTAGTCAGACTACAGTTACTTTTTATGGATTACATGATTACGTTATTTACACAATAGCAATAAATTATTCATAATTTATTGATTCTCCCTTATATCTCTTCATCTTTTCAATTTTCCTTTCTAAAATAGCCTATTGCTTACATACATTCAGAAAGTCTTCAAGTTTTGTGGACATTCACACAAAGATCAGTCATTAGTCAGATGGCGACACTGAATTTGACCACTGAATTTACAAAAATCTTTTCAGGTTTAAGAAGTGTTTCAACATTGCATCCACTACTGATGAACACTGATTTTTATTTGAATTATCACTTTGTAGCTAATTTAAACATGTATTTCTATGTCTTTGGAAGGCTTTTGTCTTTCAAACACATTAAAACGTGCAAATTCACTAACTTTTTTGTAAACCGATTCGCTTTCACCTAATATGGTTTTAATAAATATATATTTGAATAATTAAGTATCACATTTGCATGCTCGTTGGTTATGGTCACATGACATGCAGGTAAACAAATTATTTAATTTTTTTTAAATGTGTTTTATTTTGAATGATTTTATATTGTAATTGAATATTTTTTATTATTTAATTAATTATTCGAAATATATTAAACACATTTCTATGCATATGAAATTTTATTTTATAACACTACTTCTCGATTTTTCTTCAGAGTGCATCTGCATCAGCTGATGAAAGTGAAGTAGATGAAATGTCATCTGGAGAGGAATATGTTCCCTGTTCTGCATCTGATACTGAAACAGACAGTGAACAGGAACATTCAGTCAGTAGTCCACTGGATGAGTCAACAGCATGTGTCAAAACGACACTGAGTGCAACCATATATGATCAGTCTGTTTCCATGGACTGCACAGAAATTGACAATACAACATCAAACACAACACAAAACATCGCCAGTTGTTCAAAAGCCAGTATCGCTAAAGCTGGCCAGAACTTCTGCTTCGTTTGTGGAAAAGCACAATCAAAAATCACACGACATTTTAAAGTACATGCCCAAGAAAACATGGAAGTAGCTCAGGCACTTAGCTTACCTGTTGGATCCAAAAAAAGAAAACAACTTTTGGAAAACCTGAGAAACCGAGGCAACTTCAAACACAACAATAATGTCCTTAAAAAAGGAGAAGGTACATTAAAAGTTAAACGACGAGCAGTTAAACGCACAGGTTTAATACACAACAATTATGAGTATTGTTTGCACTGTAAGGGAATGTTTGTGCGCCAGGAACTTTGGAGGCACATGCGACGATGCAAATGCAAACCAGCAAAAAAACACGCGGCTACTGAAGGTAGAGAGAGGATTCTTGGTATTGCAGGGGTGGCAAAGTCCGCATTCTCTGGAAAAATTGATGACGGGTTAATGAAATTATTGAGTCACATGAATGAAGATGAAATCGCACGTGTGGTGAGAAATGATTTTGGGCTTCTTCAATTTGCTCAATCTCAGTATAATCGGCATGGATTTCAAAAAACGAAGCATGAGTATATACGCCAAAAAGTTCGTGAACTGGGAAGATTCCTACTAACATTGCGCAAAAAATGTCCATCTGCCACTTTGGAAGATGCCATGAATCCAGCAAATTTTATGAGTGTCATACAAGCAGTTAAAGAAACTGCAGGATTTCACAAAAGCACACATTCTTATCAATCTCCAAGCCTAGCTTTAAAAATTGGACACTCCCTCTTAAAAGTTAGTGAAATTCTCCACTGTCATGCTCTTATTGGTGAGGACGCAGAGTTGGCACACAGTGCACAATCGTTCCAGAAACTGTATAAAACAAAGTGGTCAGAATGTATATCTCACACAGCATTATGCACCATCAGTGACGCAAAATACAACAAGCCCACCAAATTGCCACTCACTCAAGACATCGAAAAGCTTAACAGTTATCTACAAAGAAGTGCAGAATCAGCCTTCCAGGAACTTGGCCAAAAGACATCGGAGCACAACTATACATGTCTCGCGAAGCTAACACTGACCAGGATAATCCTTTTTAATAGAAGACGTGCTGGAGAGGTCTCCAAGATGCCTCTAAAAAATTTCCTTCAAAGAGACGAGTCGTATGCTTTTGAGGAGCTGGGACTTTCAGCATATGAGAAGCGATTGTGCAAATATTTCAGAAGAGTTGAGCTGAAAGGAAAGCGAGGACGAAAAGTTGCTGTTCTGCTTACACCGGACATCACTAAAGCTCTGGAACTGCTTGCTGAGAAGCGGAAAGAATGTGGTGTTCCACACGATAATGAATTCCTCTTTGCAATACCAAAGTGCACTAGCTATTACAGAGGTCATGACTGTCTTAAAAGATTTGCTGCTGAGTGTGGAGCAACTCATCCACAGTACCTGAGATCCACACAACTGAGGAAACAAGTGGCAACGACTTCCCAAATTCTGAATCTAAAAAATAATGAAATGGACCAGCTAGCAGACTTTTTAGGCCACAATATTAATGTGCATCGTGAATATTATAGATTACCTGATGCAACAGTTCAGGTGGCCAAAATTTCGAAACTGCTTCTAGCCCTTGAACAGGGTAAACTGCCTGAACTAAGAGGAAAAACTCTTGATGAAATCAGAGGTATAGTTGTAATTAATAGTTTAATATCAATTTAATAAATAAACATTTGTTTAATCAAAGTTTTTTTTATTTTTATAAATTGAGTAGTTACTAAAATGGAATAATTGAAGTTAAACATACTATGCCATTGTGTGTTTTGTAAGATTTTACAGATGAGGATGACGATCAGGATGTTGACAGTGATGAAGACACCAATGGAGCCAGACCTCTGGAGCTTAACACAGAGACTAATGGTATGTTTTTAAATATTTGGGTAAAAATTAGTTCTGGGCAACAATCGTGATTAATCACATCCAAAATAAAAGTTTTGGTGTGCATAATATATGTGTGTGTACTGCGTATATTTATTATGTATATATAAATACACACACATGCATGTATATATTTAAGAAAATGTTATGTTTGTATATTAAATGTATTTATATATATAATATAAATTATATGACTATAAATATATACATGTAAATACAAATATGTACTGCATGTGTGTGTCTTTATATATACATAATAAATATACGCAGAACACACACATATATTATGCACACCAAAACTTTTATTTTGGATGTGATTAATCGTGATTAATCGTTGCCCAGCACTAGTAAAAATTTATGTTTATTAATTTCACTTCATTTTAGAATACAAATATTTTTGCATTATTGATATTTGAAAAATTAATTGACAAAGCAGACTAAATATTTGGACATTGTTGTTGAAGAATTGATGCAGATTACAGTTTACATTTGAATTTATTCATTTAGCAAATGCTTTTATCCAAAGCAACTTAAAAACAAAGAACATCAGAAACAATTTTATCATAAGATCCAACAATAATCATAGTACTGTTAGTTTTTTTGTATTTGATTGAGCAGTCATTAGGTGGCTGATCAGCAACATCAGCATTTTGGCCCAAACATCATAGCTTGAAATACTGTCTGTATGAGTAATCTGTATATAGCAAGACAGGGGTTTTCAAAATGTAAATGAGGGAGTGCCAGAGTAGGGCTGGATCATATGATATATCCTGGTCACAATATAAATTGTCCATCAATGCTGCAATCTGAACCAAATCTATGATCTCATAAAACGATCTGGTGATGCATGCGTACATGAGAGATCAGGGTTTTTCCTGCATAAAGAATTGCAAGGTGGCCGCCTTCGTCAAATTTCGTGCCACCTCTCACTGTCAACAAAACTGAAACTATGTGGCAATGTGCAACATGCAAAATTAATCTGTAATTTTCATACTCAGTCACGTCCGCTCCATTTTATTTGTTTACATAGCTTCACTGAACAGCATCCAAATATCAAAAAATTGTGCATATTTACATTTGTTATTTAATTTCTTAGACGCTGTTATCCAAAACTACTTACAAATGTCAGACATTGTTACAAAAATACAAACTAGAATAGGGAGGAATTAAGGAAGTAGTGGAAGCAGAGGTTATTTATTTTAGTTTTAGCAGGATGCAATTAAGTGTTCATGGAAGAGGTGAGTTTTCTAGAATATTGTCAGGGATTTGGCGTTCCAGATTGGGGTTGGGAAGATCATTCCACCAGTTTGGAATAGTGAACGAAAATTTTCTGGAAATTGATTTTTTGCATGTCTGTAATTGTACCACAATGCGACACTCACCGACCGCAGGTTTCTGGAGGGGATGTTGACTTAAAAGAGCAAGTGGAAGTAGGAAAGTACAGAGCCCGTGGCTGTTTTGTATGCAAGCATCAGTGTCTTGAACTTGATGTGAGCTGCAACCAAGAGTCAGTGCAGAGAGATAAAGAAATGTGTGGTGTAGGCTAGGGCTGTGCGATTTGGGGGAAAATATCAAATTGCAATTTTTTTTTTGACAGATATTGCGATTTGATTTGCGATTTTAAATTTGCAAAGTCAAGCTTCAGCTCAATATTGCCAATAATGTGCAGCACAGTATGGGTATCATTACCCTGCTGAAAAAAACAATAGAAACCATCACAGAAATTCTTATAGTTTCCATTAAACCATTACAAAATTCCTTTTTGTTTTGGGCATTATTCCAATAGGAATTACTGTTGTTCTATTGGTTGCCATCTGCCAGATTACATCCCACCAATAGAATCCATCAAATAGACACCATTATAGTCTACATTAAAACCAAACACATTCCCATTATAACCCTGAAATCCATTACACTTGTTATTGTGTTTTGGGAGGGGTTCTATTGTTTTTTTTTCAGCAGGCAAGATTATAATGGTATAACTACTTTTACAGAATTAACTGAATTTCACAGAAAATATTTGTTTATTTTTTATTAATAAAGAACTGTATTTCATAAGTCAATTATTAAAGTATTACATGTGTTACATAGGCTGATTTATTAATTTTAAGTATTTGGGATTTTAAGAGCAAGTGGAAAATGTGCTGAATGTTTCATTTCATCCAAGTGAAATTAGCAAGCAGTTAGACTGAATTTACATTCGTTTTAAACGCGAAGCCAGGCGCGAGTCGACACAGGTTGCGCGCGTGTGTCAAGCCTCGTCCATACTGCCAGATGCGCTCGTGAAGACTTGCGGAGACGTGTGGTGCGGAGCCGGGTGCGAGTATAAACGAGCATTACGAGACAGGCTGCGTGAAAGCATGAACGGCTCGTCCGTGACACGGGATTCGTGCAGAGAAGAGCGAGTATGAGAAGCATTCACAGACACAGGCTGTGTGTGCGCTCTTCTGAATTAGGAATAGTCAACATGCATTTGAACTTATTTTAAACTTATTTCAAATTAATCTGTTGGGGAGATAAAATGTGTAAGATCAACAAAAACATCTAAGAATGTATCTTTTATTCTCCAGTACTGAAAACAGAACCGATAAGGGAGCTTTTGATATGCACTGTGACGCAGCTCTTGCAAATTACCTTTTTTGTTTGTTGTCTGTCATTTCGAAGCTTAAGTTGCATACGGTTTTCTTTAGTTTTAATTTGCCTAACTATCGATCTGACCCAGTAGACGCCATAATCCCACTCTGTCTCTCTCCCGTCTCGCTTTGTCAACGCAGTTGGCTAGAGCAGTGCTGATTGAGGAGAACGGAGGTGTGCTCACTCTTGCCCAGGGCAAGTAAGACTGCAACTCAAGGCTGGCAGTCATGCATATGCTCTGGAACAGAGTAATATCGCGTACACATCGCAGGCTTTGCGATTAGGAAATCGCAACGTCTCAGATTTCGATTAATCGCACAGCCCTAGCGTGGGCTCTTGGGCTTGTTAAAGACCAGTCATACTGTTGCATTCTGAGAGATTAAATAAAATGATAGTAATAAAATAAAAAAAAGATTGCAATTGACATCACTTGCGAAAGTGCAGTTGTTCGTGAGTGCAAGTCAGAGAATGCAAGTCTGAAAAAGCAAGTGCATGTCTGCAGCCAGACCTTATTGGGGATATGCGTTTAGAAAAAGCGCACGTCAGAACAGTACGCAAATATAATGCTTAACTGGCAAGACTTTAAAGCACGTGCAAATAATGTAGTTTTGTGATTGCGAATAAGTGCAGTGTCCCGTAAGTGTAACTCTACCGCGGAGTTAACATTTGATGTGAATGTTTGTCCCGTTGTAATTGCACTTTATTGTATTTATCTGCTGTAAGTATGCCTAGTGTTTTTTTGTTTTTTGTTTTGATGAAACTGAGTTTTGAGAGGCAAACAAAATATGATAGTGCTTAATTGTTAATATGTCATGAAATTTGGAAAAATGAGTTTAAAAAATGTTTTTATACACTTTGTAGCTCAAAATGCAGATCAAGTCAGCAGAACAGCTACTTCATATACTGAAGTTAAAGGTACGACCGCTTTTGTTCAAACTTGGCATTGATCACTTTTTCTGCATATGCTGGATTTAACTATGTTGTATGTTTATGTTAACTAACTGTATTTTTTTTTATAGAGCTTGACAAGCAAAAGAAAAAAAAGGACATGTGAAAAGACCATGGGCCACATCAGAGGTCAAAGCGGTAAGTCTTGAGTGTTTTGGATTCATTCTAGTGTTAAGTAAATCATATTGTGCAGTGTTTTAAAGTAGTGTTTTTAACAGATTGTTTGGTAGTCATTTAAAATGATATGAGATAACCAAAGGTTCCGTAGTGTATGGCACACTTAAAGGGATAGTTCACCCAAAAATGAAAATTCTGTCATTTATTTACCCTCAAGTTGTTCTAAACCTGTAGGAGTTTCTTTGATCTGTAGAACACAAACGACCTTTTAAAGATTGTAGTTAACCAAACCGTCTCTGGTGCCCATTGTGAGACTTACAAGAATGCAGAGCACCCTATTCTAGATTCTCAAATAATCCAAAACAAAAGAGACTTTATGGGGACCAGAAACTGTTTGGTTAACCACGTTCTTCAAAAGATCTTTTTTGTGTTTGGAAGAACTTGAGGGTGAGTAAATGATGACAGAATTTTCCTTTTGAGTTGAACTATCCCTTTAAATAACGTGTCTGGACATATTCTAAAGCAACATAAAAAATAAAATAAAAAAAAGTTACCCTAGTTTGCTTATTCTTCCTGGCAAGCCAATGCTGTCAGTTCAGCTGTCAGTCAACAGTATTACTTGTTTATATTTTAATTTTATGAGTTCACCTAAGTCTATAAGTCTTCTGGATTTATTCTAGTGTTAAGTAAATTATATTGTGTGCAGTGTTTTAAAGCACCGTGTTTTTAACAGACTGTTTGATAGTCATTTTAAATGACATGAGTTAATCAAAGGTTCTGTAATGAATGGCATACTTGATGAAAAGGGAGGATTTAGAAGTTCTGTGGCAGTCCCTTTAATAAAACTTGGTGTCTTGAAATTGAGTGCTGCTCAGCTTGTCTCTACAGAATCCTCCAAATGTGTTCTAGCGTGTGAAGGCTCGGTAAAAAGCTTGTCCACTGTACGTTTTTCACCTTGGGAGGGTGTATATACTGTAGTTAGAGTTGAAAACGGAATGAGGAGAGGGTAGCATATTGTGCTTCAGGATTTTTGTATTACATCACACAATGGTGTGTGAATTCATGACAGCGTTGATAAAGCACAACTCATACCTTCAGCACTCATACATCCCTATATAAGAACTTTACCACCAAAGATTCACTGTGGGAACCAGGCACTTCTCACTGTATTCACTTACTCTTTACATAGCTTTTGCTGGCTCTGACACCTGCTTGGTATTTTTCCTGATTCTTTTTCTAGCAAAAACAACACTTGTCACAAAACGAAGCTTTAGGTGAGGCCTGATTATTTCAGGGGCCTTGTCAGAAGTCCATTATTTTTAAATTTCTGTTACGTTTGCGGTTTGCACACTTAAAACAATGATTTGTCATTCCTCTTATACCACTGACCTTTTTACTATTTAGCTTTCAAAGTGTCAAGATTGCATATATATTTATTTTTCTTCTGTATGTATTAGTCCACTATTAATGCTTCATTGATGCTGCAGTAATTTCTGAATTTGCAGTATTTCGGAAGCTCATACTGGATCTCTCCAGTTCATTGGCAGCTGCTGCTTGTTTGTCAGCTCGATTTGTCAACATCATCATGCACACTTAACTAGAGTACGGTAAAAAGAAAAAGAAAAATCTGTCTCCAGTGCAATAACAAATCCAGTACATTGCTTTGTGTTCCTCTACATTATCTCCATGTTGTGCAGAAGCAACCACATTTTTTACAGTGTTTGCAGACCTTTATTTTTCAGAATCCAGGATTTAAATGGTTAAAGTTTTGCAATTTCCAACATCTCTGAGAGGAGAGTCACATGAGTAATCTACTGGAATCTTTCATTGGTCAGAAGTGCGACATTATATTCAGGGGTTTGGCTCGTAGTGGGACAACAGCTTCTTTGGCCTGCAGCTTTCCCCCTTAATACTCACTAGCTCATGTGATCGTGATTGTTCTGGTGCAGATCCAAGTGTGATTGTTCACTTATGCCTAAATGAGCTGAACTAAAGGAGAAAATGTGACAGGCTCCAAACCTTACTCCTATCAAAAATACTGTCTTATCAATTTTTTGATAAAGTTCTTAGTAAACTATGTTAGACCTTGTAAACCACTTTGCGTGTTTGTGTGTTTTATCAAAACAGTCCCTGTAAACCTGCATGTCCCAACAAACCATAAATCATTGGACCCTGCAAGCCTGTGAAAAATCAGTTGTTACATTTCCATGATTTTATGGTAGAAACAACACTTTTAAGTGAGATGTATTCTAAAGAGGCCATATAACATTGTTTAATATATTGGTTTCATTTGT